ATATATATGTGTTTGACAGAGGATATCTCTACCTATGTATTTGCATGTGCTGCAAATATATCCATGAATGCAGTACGGCATACAGCGGGCAAAGTTATGAAAACTTTTTAGTCATAAACAAACACCTTGAAGGAATGAGTTGCTGGACTTGGAGGCTTAGGACTGTGGTCTCAGGGGATGCTAAGGTCAATTGGCATGACATAGTCCACAAAGACAATGTTCTACATCCTGCTTCAGAGAGTAGCTCCCGTGGTCTTAATAGCTTACGAGCAGCCATCTCCGAAAACCAAACTCACTGCCATTGTTCTGACTCACAGCAACCCCATTGGGTTTCTGGGGTGTGTGTGTGTGTGTGTGTGTGTGTAAATCTTTACGGGAGTAGATTGCTCCATCTTCCTTCCATGGAGCAGCTGTAGGTTGGAACTGCCAACCTTTGGGTTAGCAGTCAAATGCCTTAAACACTGCACCACACCATCTAAGGTGCAACTACTGGTCTCTTCCCATTCAGAGCAAAGAAGAATGAAAAAAATCAAAGATGCAAGGAAACAATTAATCCAAAGGAATAAGGGACCACGGGAACCCCAGCCTCCACAATCCTGAGACCAGAAGAACTATATGGTGACCGCTACCATTGCTGACTGCTCTGAAAGGGATTGCCATATGAGGTCCCAAATACAGTGGGAGAAGAATGTGGATCAAAGCTCAGAATCATAAAAAAGACCAGGCTTATTGGTCTGATGAAGACTGGTGGAACCATCGAGACGATGGTCCTTAGACAGTCTTCAAGGTGGGAACCAAACTCAACCTTTGTGGCTCAACTTTCAGCTAAATGACAGACAAGCATGTTGTTGTTGTTGTTATGTGCCGTTGAGTCGGACCTGACTCACTGCGACCCCTCTTTGGGTTTCCGAGGCAGTACCACTATGGAAGTAGATTGCCCAACCTTCCTTCCGAGGAGTGGCTGGTGGGTTTGAACCGCCAGCCTTCTGGTTAGCAGTCAAATGCCTTCAGCCCTACGCTACCAGACCTCCCAGACAAGCATATAAGGTCCTAAAAACCAGCTCTGCATTCATTAGAACAATCAACCTTAAGAGATCAAAAGGGCAGCATTTGCCCAGGGGATAAAGCTCAGAAGGCAGGAAGGGATGGAAAAGATGGATGAAGGAAAATGGCAACATGGGGAGGAAGTGGGAAAAGAAAAAAAAAGTGAAAAAAAACACAAAAACCAGAAATCAAACCACATATTGCATCGGGCAAATCTGCTTTGAAAGACCTTTTCAAAGTGTTAAAAAGCAAAGATGTCATCCTGAGGAGTAAGATGTGCCTGGCCGAAGTCATGGTATTTTCAATCTCTTCATGTGCATGCAAAATCTGGACAATGAAAAAGGACAACCAAAGAACTGATAACATTTAAATTATGTTGTTAGTGAACAATACTGAATATACCACAGACTGCTGGAAGAACAAACAAATGTGTCTCGGAAAGAAGCGTAGCCAGAACGCTCTTAGAGGCAAACACTTTAACTAACAGACTTCGGACATGTTTTCAGAAGGGACCATTCCCTGGAGAAGGATATCATATTTGGTAAAGTAGAGGGTCAGAGAAAGAGGGGAAGATCGGGAACAAGACAGATTGACACAGTGGCTGCAAAACTGGGCTCAAACAGAGTAATGATTTTTTTTTTTTTTTATTGTGATTTGGGTGAAAATTTACTGAGCAAATTCACTTTCCATATAGCAGTTCACATACACTTTGTCTCATGACATTGACCACAATTTACCACAATGAAGCAGCTCCCCTCCTACTTCCTCCCCATAGTTACCTCTTCCCTGTGTCCATCCCTCCATGCACTCCTGCCCCCTGAGCTGTCTCCCTATGCATAAGCAGCCCTTCTTTCTCCCATGATTGTTCTCTCCAAGGAGTGTATCTACCTCAGGTAAATGTTCAACTCATATGCCTGTCTATTGTTTGGCTAGAAGCCACAGGTGTGGGTTCAATTTCAGACCTGACAGGCAGCTAGGGGCCATAGTCTCAGTGGTTCCACCAGGCTCCATTGGGCCAGCAAACTTGGTCCCCCCCCTCTTTTTTTTTCCTCCAAATGATTTTGAGTTTTGTTCCATATTCTTCTCCCTCTCCATTCAGGATCTCCTACATAGATTCCCTTCCAAGTGGTTCACAGTAGTAGGCAGGCACCATCTAGTTCTGGTCTCATAGTCGTACAGGCTGCAGGTCGGATGGTGTACCAGTCACTACGACTAATTGTTTCCATGAATTTTTTGTTTTCTTCATTCTTCTTCGCCCTGGACTAGAGACCCATTGTTGCATCTAGATGGCAGCTTGCAAGCTTTTAAGATCCCAGTCACTACTCACCAAAGTAGGAGGTGGAACAACGTTTTCTGTAATACGTTATGCCAATTGAGCTTGATGTTCTGAGCAAGATGGTAAGGTTCTGAGCCCACAGGTTCAACCACTTGGTCCCTCTGGGTAGCTGGCTGTGACCAAGAAGTAACTATAACCTTGCCCCTTGTCAGCTCCACTATACACCTGGGAATTCAGATCATACACATAAATTTATAGGACCATTGTCTGCCAACCTTATACATGGTCTTGAGTACGCTCCCCTCTTCATAGTCATACCTACTAGTTCAGCCTGTCCACCCATCTATCCAGCCACATACTCACGTTTGCCTTCCCTGACAATGCAGCACTGTATGTGCAAAACAACATCCTTGTTGTCTGTACCTCCCATGTACCTCTCCATGTGTTTCTCTTCCTCAACGCCACCATATTGATCACTCACACTTGGTACACTGCCCTTCTCTTCACCCAAATCAATATTTATCTCTATCTATCTAACAGTGTTCCCTACCCTACCCTACCCTACCCTCCCACCCCTGGTAATCAACAAAGAAAATTTCCTTCCATAGATAAACCTTTCCTTGACTTTTACAATAATGGACTAATACAGTATTTGTCATTTTGTGATTGACTTATTTCCCTCAGCATAATGTTCTCCAAGTCCATCCATGTTATGCGGTGTTTTGCAGATTCTACATTATTCTTTTGTGTTGCATAGTATTCCATTGTGTGTATGTACCATAGTTTGGTTATCCATTCCTCAGTTGATGGACACCTAGGTTGTTTCTATCTTTTGGCTATTGTAAATAATGCTGTGGCGAACACGGGGTGCATGTGTCTGTTCTTGTCCTGGCTCTCACTTCTTTATGATATATACCTAGTAATGGAATGGCTGGGTCAAATGCTATTTCTAATTCCAACTTTTGAAGGAATTGCCATACAGCTTTCCACAGTAGTACCATTTTACAGTCCTACCAGCAGTGTATGAGAGTCCCAATCTCTCCACATCCTTGCCAGCATTTGTTATTTTCTGTCTTGAACTTTACTAGAGCTGGAGCAAGATGGTATGTCATTGTTGTTTTGATTTGGATCAGAGGAATGATTTTGAGGATGGCACAGGTATGGGCAGTGTCTCACTCTGTTGAACGTGGAGTCCCTATGAGTCAAACAACAATGGCTGAGAGTTTTTTTCTCTTTACTGGACTGGACTAAATCTGACTTGAGAGGAAAAAACAAGGGATTGTAATTACTCCCAATATTTACGCTTAATTTGAAGACAAAACCTTGGAATTAGGTGGATCCCACATGGGGCCAGATGACCTTAGACAAGTTACAACGTCTTTGAGCTTCTTGTGTCATCCATCTGAAAATGGAGATCATTGGGTCTAAGTTATAGGCTTGTCATTAGGCCAATTTATTCCAATCCTGTGCACACAGTGAGTGCTAAGTATTTACTGAATTATTGAATATGAATTTTAAATTAAATTCAAACAGTGAAGTGCCTACCAGCTTACATATAGCACTGCTGTCTACTGGTCTTTTGTATCCTTGGGGTCTCAGCTCAAAGGTCATCTGCTCCCTGACCCCTGGATTGAAAGTACCCCACCCGCCTCCACTCACTTCTCCCTGTAGTGTCGTATAGCCCTGGTTGCAGGTGAGTTAGGATTCTGACGCATGCTGACCCATATGCTGTGCTCCATAGTTTTCCAGACCGTGACATGTCGAGAACAGATCGCCAGGCTTTTCTTCTGCAGCACCTCTGGGTGAGTTCAAATTGTCGACCTATTAGTTAGTCTTTTGGTTAGTAATCGAGCGCTTAACCTTTTGTACCACCCAGGGCCATTGGTTTATTTAAGATTTGTGTACACCACCAGAAAGTCCTCGGAAGGAAGATGGGGCAATCTACTTCCCTAGTGATATTGCCTCGGAAACCTAAGGAGGGGTCGCTATGAGTCGGGTCCGACTCCACGGCATATAACAACAACAACAACAACAACCAGAAATTATACTCCTTGCGGGCTAGGCGATTTCCACTCACTGACAACAGGGTGGAGCAGAACTGCCCCATAGGATTTCCAAGCCTAAGGCATTTGACTGCTAACCAGAAGGCTGGCGGTTCAAACCCACCAGCCACTCCTCGGAAGGACGGTTGGACAATCTACTTTTGTAGTGATACCGCCTGGGAAACCGAAGGAGGGGTCGCTATAAGTCTGGATCTGGACCGACTAGAGGGCAGTGAGTTTGCGTTTTCTTTTTTTTTTTTTTTTGGGGCATCTTTACTGAAGCAGGATGCCACATCTTTCTCCCAGAGTTCTCACAACTGATCTTTCAGTTAGCAGGCAAGCGCTTAAACACTGAGCCACCAGGACTCCTTTAAATGTCTGGAAATCAGAGACCTTGTGTCCTGTATTTCCATACCCTACCTTAAGCCTCAGCATCTTCCTCTATAAACGTGAAAGGACTGAAGAAGACTCTGCCCACCTAGGCATCACGCTCCGCCCAATTCAAAGCCTGAGGTTTCCCTCAAGCCACGAATCGCCTCAGTCTTCCCACGTGGTTCCCAGTGGATGCCCCGCCCCCTAAGGCGTGGCCTTCACTGTCACCGGCCCGCAGGGGAGGTCTTTCTCTGTAGGAGAGCTACGTCACACGCATCCAGGCTCGGCTCGAGGCTTGACTCGCCGCAAGCGGAAGAGGCGTGGCCAGGAGCGAGGGCCCCGCAGTTGTCGGCGCCGCCGCCTGAGCGGCCTGCGGGTGGATGCTCTCCTCTCCGCCGCTCAGGCAGGTCGTAAGCCACTCTGTTTTGGGGTCCTCGTCGCCCTTCCACGTCTCCCGGAAGAGTGGCAGGGCCAAGGCTGGCCAGAGAGGAGGTTCGCTCAGCCTGGGCCCGTTCCGGGCCGGCTGGTGACGGGGGGCGGCTCAGGAGGGCGTCGACGCCTGGGTGCAGCCGCTCCAGAGTCCTCAGGTGAGGCGGCGGCATAGGCTCAGCGGACAGGACAGGTCCGCTTGGGGGCGTTAACGGCCTCAGGAGCGGGGGGCGCCGTCCCTTGTGGAAGGATCCAGGTCTTTCCCCCTTTTTTTGGGTCGCTCTTGTCCTCATTCTCTTGGGCATTGAAGAAGGGGATAGGAATCCCCTCGCACTCCCAGCTTGATCTGGCTGCTCTTCTCCGGAGGCTCGAATAAGGTGGGTGGGGAGTAGAGTGGGGGACCTGCTGTCTGTCTGACTCCCCAGGACCCACTGATTGGGCCGGCCTGACTACCCCCCAGCAATCCCTTCTCTGTGCTGACACCTGGCTTTCTGCAGGCCCTGCCACCGCGGTCTGCACAGCCATCCCCACCCCACGCAGTACCCGCTGTGCGCCTTCTCGCTCCCTTTTTCTCCACCTCCGTGTGGGCCGTTTCCGGAGGCAGTGCCAGAGGAGTGACTTGAGGGCTTTGGACCTCTGAAGTGGGCTCGAGTTGTCTTTCGTGTCTGTCTGTGGGGCAAGTGACACGTCCCACTAACTCTTAGTGTTTGTTTAGTTAAGTAATCGGCATGCAGGGACAAGCTTTGTTGCAAAGCCCTATTACTAACTTTATGGGAGGCAAGATAGAAAGGAATTAATCAATGTGTTTTGATTGCTCTATTAGGAAAGATCATTTGCTCCCGAACACCACTATGCTTATTTGGGTTTAATACTTTACATCTCTGGAGTTTCACACGATAAAAATACATTCTCCTCCTGTTTTCATTTGAAATACCCAGGTGGGTAACAATCCCATATCATAACGGAATTCCAAAAACCAAACTCAACCAGTTGCCATCTAGTGAATCCAAGTCATTGCAGCCTCTGGAGTCTCAGAGAAGAACTGTGCTCTGTAGGGGTTTCAGTGCCTGATTTTTCAGAAGCAGGTCACCAGACCTTTCTTCTGAGGCACCGCTGGATGGACAGCCAAGCGCACTAACTGCAGCACCCTGGGACTCCTATGACAAGTTTAGAGAATGAGCTTTTTGAGGTTACTCACATTTTGAGAGGTTACTTATGGGAGGCGGGGGTTAAAATTTGGTGTGAGGAGTTTGGCTAACTTAGATGAGTACCAGCAGGACACCTAAACTCTCAGCCACTAAACCTTTTCTCATCAGTAAAAAGCAGATACTGCTATTTACCGAGTAAGTGGTTGTAAAAGCTACATGTGATTGAAGGTCATGTTTTCCTAGCATCTGACAGTTTTTATGCATGGCGGCTATGCCAGCTGCATTGCCAGGACTTCATTGGTGTGCACAACAGACAGGGCCCTCAAACACACTCTCTCCCCTTCCCCAGTATGGAGATGAGTGTTGAAAAATGAACACATAATAACCCTGGTGGTGCAGTGCTCTGCTGCTAATCGGAAGGTTGGCGGTTCAAACTCACCCAGTGGGATCTGCCCCTGTAAACATTACAGCCTAGACAGCCCTATTGGGCAGTTTTGCTCTGCCATATGAGGTTGCTATGAGTCAAATTAACTGTGTGGCCCCCAAAGACAACATAAAATATGAAGAGCTGTGAGAGAATAGGGAGTCGTAAGACCTAACTTAGAACAGAAAGCCCTGATGACACTCAAGTGAAGACCAAGAACAAGTTAGCCATGAAAGAGCGTTCCAGGCAAAAGGTTGTTGACCTTTTTAAAAGTGTAGTTTCTTCTGTATCATGAGAACCAAGGACTTCATTGCTTTGATTTCTTGTGGGCCAATGTTAGCACTCAGATACACATACTGGATGAATGACTATGCAATCATGTTTTGCTTTATATTCCAAACTTACCTTAATGTGTATGTAAGTTGGTACTGAGTATGTGGCATTTGACTGCTAACCAGAAGGTTGGCGGTTCAAACCCACCAGCCACTCCTAGGGGAAGATTGGGCAATCTACTTGTGTAGAGATACCACCTCTGAAACCCAAAGAGGAGTCGCTATGAGTTGAATCGATTTGATGGCAGTGAATTTTTTTGTTTGTTTGTTTTCCTGATGGGAATTCTGAAGGTGTACTTTACACAAGATACGTATGTGTACACCCAGATTATACACAGTAGTGCTGC